GAGGGGGGAGAGTGATAGAGAGAGGGGGATGGGGAGAGGAGGGGAAGAGAGTGAGAGAGGAAGGAAAGGAAGAGGGGGAAGGTGAGAGAGAGGAGAGAAAGAAAGAGAGAAGGAGAGGAGGAGGGGGTGGGAGGGATAGAGAAAGGAAGGGAGGGGGAAGAAGGGAAGGAGGGAGAGAATAAGGGAGAGGGAGGGAGGGACTGGAGGATGCTGGTGTTGATCTGGGATTAGGAACGTGCCACACACTCATTTCACAGTGTTTAAATTTCATCTATGATTTCCCCTGTGAGACTGATTTGTTCAAATCAGGAGCTTGATAGTTCTTGCCCGTTATGGTTGCTTCTGCTTCTGTCAGCACCATTTAGTCATGGTAGAAATCAAGCCTCTTGTTCTATGGGCGTCTGTGGACTGGACTCCACTGGCTGCCTTCCACACTATGTTGTTCCTCCTATACTACTCCTGAGAAATGACTATTGGAGATGGCATTTGTGTGCCAGGTTCCACAAATATAAGGGGTAGGGCAGTGGGGCAAACAGAAGATGCCAGCATATCTTTCTGTAAAGTCTTGTCCCCAGGTGTAAAGATACTCTCCTCCCCTGCAGAAGCTGTCCTGGGTGCAAAGAGAGGGTTTGAAGGAGATCACAGCCAGAGGGACATCTTGTCTACCTTACCCCAGCATGAAGTGGCACACCCTCCCAATGAATCCCTGGGAAACACGGGAGAGAAACTCAGATACTCTATAAGCATACACCTTCCTCAAAGCCAGGGAAGGCAAGGTCTCAGTTTTATTATCTGGCCTAGATATAACCTGTCCCCCTTATGAACAAAGCCTCCACTGAGGAAACATGGAACTTGGGGCCTGGAGCAACTGGGTCCCCCCCTTGGCCTTGGTCCTGCACATTTTGTTGTAGGACAAATAACCTCACATACAAGTTACCGGCTCTGTGTCAGAACTTGGAGGTGTAGTACAGGTCTCACCAGGTCTATGGTACTCTGTCCACCATCCTATCTGTCTTATGCTCAAGGAAACGAGGATGTGCATGAACCATCCATCCCTTGGTTCTCTTCACTCCCTAGAGTGAGCTATGTCACTCAAGGGGTCCTGTGATGGCCGTGTGATCCACTGAGGATCACCCTAACCAAAAATTTGAATTGTACTGCATATGGTCCCTCCATGGGCTGGGAGCAGGCCTATGGGTTCTGACTTCAGGAGTTAACATTCCTACTCTTCCCCCAAGGTGGCTCAGCCTCTTCTTCAGTTTTAGGACAACATCCACGCATGAATCCAGCCTGGATCAGAGTGAGAGGCCAGAACCAACTCAGGCAATCCAGCTCCAGGCTTCCTCCTCACTCATCTTCCTCAGCTGGCGGCTGCTATTCGTTTGTTCCCCAGGGCTCCATGGCTATCAGAGGTGCCCCAGAGCCACCTGTCTGCTTCGCTGCCTGAGGGTCCCTGATTCCCCTAATGTCAGGGTTTCAAATGCTGCTGCTGACTCCTCTTCCTGAGATCTCACAGTTTTTATTACTGGTCTCCTGTGCTGTTTCTTCAGCACTCAGGGCACGGTCCAAGTTGTCAATCTCCTACACCAGAGCATCGTTGTAGATTTCTTTCTTGTAGCACATCAGAATGTTTGTTCACTTAGCCTGGAGACTGAGATAGTATGGCACTGGTTGTGGAGTGTTGACTGTGCCTCCGGAGAGGTAGAGTACTCAGTTACTCCACTGAGATCAGGCTGAAAAAAACCAATTGGCAAAATAGTGTGAGAAGCCAATGCCCAAGAAAAGGCAATGAGCTTCAAGGAGTTCATCCCCAAGGGGGTCTAAGCATGGATCTCGGCCAAGTGGCAGACCAAGAGCCCCAGGACTGGACTAGATGAGCCACGGGCAAGGCTAGAACAGCTGCTGTCTGTCCACCCAGGCTGTGACATCTCACTGTGTGGCCTACGTGCTGGGGCAAAATTCTTCGCGTGATCCCTAACCTGCCCGGGGTTTGTAGCAAGGGCAGCCTGGGGACTTCTGTGTGGTTTTCACTACTTCCTGGCCATTTGGGTCCAGCTGAATTGTCTGAGGATTGAGAAGCCTGCACTACCAGGGAGATAATGAGATTGCTGAGTGACGAACGCTCCGAGACCACCAGGAGAGGATAGGAAGTGCCTGCCCCGCCTTTGGACTTCAGCTCTCTGGGTTGGGTAATTTTTACTTCTGACCTTGGGGTGGGGTGTGTCCCAGAAGAAATTTCCTGTGAGCAAGTGTGCACTTGCGCGCCTGTGTGTGTGTGTGTGTGCGTGTGTGTGTGTGTGCGTGCGTGTGTGCATGCATGTGTGTGTGCGTTTGTGTATGTGTGTGTGTGTGTGTGCATGTATAGACTGCAGAGTAGACTTCCAGTCATTGTCCTTGGGACGGTTTAGCAGCTGCTGGCCAGCAGGCAGGAAGAAGGCCCAAATGAGATCTCCTTTGGCTGTCAGGATAGAGCCCTGCTGGGTCTGCTCCTAGGACAGAGGTGCTGGATCCCGCTATCAGCTCCACCCTCCACCTGGCCCCTGGGTTCTCGGCCAGTTTCTCAGGCTTCCCACTTCACCACTGAATTGCTTTGTGTAGGGCAGTTATTCCTTTCTCTGAGTCTGTTTGTTCTCTGTCAGGTGGAGAACCACAAATTCTCCATCTCCCCTGGGGCTTGGGCAAGGAACCAAAGAGCAATGTCTTCGCAGCAGTGGAGTTGAGTCCTGGCCCAGAATTTGCCTCCCTGAACACGGTGAGGCACTTCCTCGTGGGGTTTCCTTCTACCGCATTTACCACAACATCAAGGACAAGGTCAGACAGTCTAGGAAGAATGAGCGGAGGATCCCAGCTGTGGGATGGAGTTTCCAAAGACCCTTAGGATGTGATGAAAGGCCTGAGGAACCCAACATGTATGTAACATTAAGTGTGAAGTCCGGGTTTAGACCCTCGGGTGTATGATATAAATGTGAATATTCTTTTGGATGGAAAATATGCCACGAGAGTTTTTATCTCCACGCAGCTGTTGCGACTTTTAAAATCTTGTGTGCTTTTCCAGTTTTCCAGTATAGTGTATCCAGGTTTTACCGTTACAGCTGGAGGAAAAAATGTTGTGTTGACTGCTGGCCTTGGCTTTGAAATCTCAGAACAATGCTGTTTCAAAACAACATATTTTGTGGCTGGGGTGGGGGGTGGGGGAGTGGGGGTGGAGGGCTCGCAGATCCCAGAACGTGGAACAAACTGAAGAAAAGAATGCTTATCCACAGGGAAAAACTTAAAAGTCCCCACAGGAAACACAGGCCACCGGTTTCCTGCAGCTGTCTAAAAACTCTACAGAGCAAAAGGACCAGGCGCTTCTCTGGAGCAGCTGGCCGCCTGGGGGCACGAGAGGACCCAAGGCCACTCAGAAGTCCTCTTTGTCCCTGACAGCTAACAGGCGGCTGGCAAGTGCGCTCTTCCTGACCATTTGAGGTTTATCGTACAGGTCAGGACGGAGGAGCGGACGAGGAAGAATCACCTCCCCCAGTACACACTCCCTTCCCCTCCCCTGATTTTGGTTCTCTGACTGTCACAAGGCAGGGAGCATCAGAACGGCCTGCTGTAGGGCGGTGTAGGGTGAAGGAACACTCGAGCGTAGTACAGATAATAGTGAGAGAGGGAGGGCATGAGGGGGCTCAGCTGCTTGTAGGGGCGGATCTTGGTAGAAGCCGAGGACTACGTCGTCGGAGGTGGCCAATCCCCTCCAAGGTCTTGGTCTTTGTTAGGCAGGTACTCCAGGGGGGGGAAGGGACTGTGGGCATGGGCGGGGTCATGAGGAGGGGTGAGTCACAAGGGCGGAGCCTCAGGTAAGGTGCCTTTCCTACACCGGCTTGAAGATGAGGATGTTCTATCCTGTGAGCCCGGATCCTGGTCCAGGTCGGTTGACCTGGTCTAGGTTGGAGATGGGAAAACTGAGGCAGATGGGGCCCCCAGGAGTCTTTAGCCCCGGCTAGAAGGGGCCACGTCCTGTGGGAGGTGATTGTTCCTGGCTCAGCTTGGTGCCCTCTTCCCCTCTTTCCAGGACTACCCAGTACGATGGGTACCCTGGTGCTTATCCCCCAACTCAGTTGCCATCTTCCCCATCTCTCTCTCTCTCTCTCTCTCTCTCTCTCTCTCTCTCTCTCTCCCCTCCCACTTACCTACACTTATTTATTTGTGTGCGCGGGAATGCAGGCACGATCATATATTCCACAGAGGGCAACTCACAGAGTTCTCTTCTTCCGCTGTGCTCTATGTGGGTCCCTGGGATCAAACTCAACTTACCAGTCTTGGCGGCAAGCATCTTTACCTCCTGAGCTACCTTGCCAGACCCAGCTTGTCATCTTGTGTTAATATGTTCCTACCCCTGATCCTCTTATACAGATATGTTTGTTCTACTGGGGTGAAAAGGATGAGGTCCAGCTTAGCCTTGTAATGATTAAAAACGGAAAGGCAAAGTGGGTTCCTCTCGGGCCCTGCCAAGGTATGCCACTAAGCAAACACCACACACACAGAGCTAGTGCGAGAGGTTTGTTGGGGGAGGAGAGAGGGGGGAGAGTGAAAGGCCAAAGGCGGTGTTGGAGTGGGGATATGAGAGAGGCAGGCAGACAGACAGACAGACAGACAGACGGAGCAGGGAAGAGAGGTAAGCAGGCGAGCTGTGCCAGGTGAACACTTTTAAGGGGCACACATGTGGCATAGCTAACGGAGGAAATGCACCTGCCGGTGATGATGGTGAAACTGTCTTGGTGGCAGAGGAGGCTGCTGCGGGGGGAACTACCAGGCCTTAGAGTCAAGATCTTCCTGCCTTGCACCCACCCCCAAGTGCCAAGAACGAATTGTGAGCCACTTTACCTGGAATTCCTTTTATATGTTTAGTTTGAATCAAAGTTTCACTAAGTAGCCTCGGCTCACCTGGAACTCACCGTGTAGACCAGGCTGTCCTCGAGCTCACAGGGATCTGTCTGCCTCTGTCTCCAGCACAGGGATTAAATGTCCAGCACCACATCTGGCTCCAGTTCTGTTTGTGTTTTTGATGAACATGTAGAGTTGGGAGGACAGTTGGGTAGTAGTGTCTGCCTAACACGTCCTTTGTTCTGGGTCCCCAGCACTTCAGAAAACAAAATAATATTATGTTTATGAATAGTTTACCTCTGAGGAGGACCAAGAGCAACCCCAAAGGGCCCCCAGGCTTCTCCTCCCTCCCACCCCAAGCAGGAGACTTAATGGTGGCAGCGATCAGTGTACATTTGAGAACACAGTTAAATCGTTGCATCCATTTTCTCTGGATTTCTCTGTTTGTTATAGCCATAACAAACAACCGCAAACTTACGGGCTTAACACAGAAGATCTTCATCATTCTCTGGGCATGTCAGCAGACCGAGAGTGCGGAGTTGTCAGGCTCGAGTTGTCAGGCTCTCCTGAGGAAGGGTCCCGAAGGACCTATTTCCCAGTCTTCCATCTCTCGGGCCCATCTTCTGTCCATTTTCAAGGCCAGTAACAGCCTCTCAACCGTCTGCTTCCACTGAGGCATCTCCGCCCCACCCTGGCTCTCCTGCTTCCTTCTGAGGTTCTTATGAAGACCCAGGATCATCTCTAGCCCCTGAGTTCAGTGCCCTCTGCAGAGCTTCTTTGCCATGATAAGCATCTGGGGATTAAGAGCAGGGCATCAAGGCCCTTATTCAGGCATCTCTCCAAAATAAACAGGAAACACCAGCTCAGTTGGAGAAGGAAATCGCTCCTGCTCCTAGCCCTGAAAAACATGATGAGAGGGTGACTGAGGAAAATCAGGGGGCCGTGAGCATATATAGAGGTGGGCATAAATGTGCATTTAAATGTAGAACTCAGATAAAGTAGCATTGTATGTGAGGAGCTCCCGAGGAGAAGACAGAGCTCAGAAATCAATTTCTCCAGCATGGAACCAGAAAATGATTTCAAGGAAAAAGAGATATGGAATATGGACACATACGTTCTACTATTTATGTGCCAGGATCCGGGGTTGGGGCACCAGGCACAGATAGACAGTCATACATACCACACACTGACACAGGGCAATATATACCACATAGCATACATAGACACATATGCTACATACAAACAGCAATATATATAGCATAGATACACAAACACATAGCAATACACTCCCACTACATACAAATCACAGACATGCATACGAAATATAGAAACATATGTATACCCACAAAGACCCATCTGCCACAGTACACCTCACATGTACTCACTACACATAAACTACAAACACCACACCGACATCACATGAACTAGATACACAAAAATGTAGACACTCAAAATACATGCCACACATACACATGCACACATACATGAAGATAAAAATGTCACAAAAATTGATAAGAAAACTGTCATATTAAAAAGGAGAAATGGGACCGCAGAGATGACTCAGTGGTAACGGCGCTTGCTGCCAAGCCTGAAGAACTGAATTTGATCCCCAGAATCCACTTGATAGGAGAGAATCAATTCAATGAGCTTCTGACTTGCTTCCACAGGCATGGCATGGTACACAAGAGCCCTGACCCACCCACATATAAATAAATAAGATATAAAATAGAACAGGAAAGAAATATACACACACTCTTTTTGCTTTGGGGTTTTTTGTTTTGCTTTGCTTTGCTTGTTTTGTGTTTGTTTTGCGAACAGAGTCTCTGGCTCATATGATGATAGCTTTGAATTATTGATCCTCCTGCCTCTACTCTCCCTCTTAAAGGCTGGAATTACTCTGGGATAAAGAAAAAATGAAAATGTGAAAGGGTGTAGGGGGATGAATTGTATCCCCAAAGGGTAAGGCTCCAATACCAACCACCAGCACCTGGGATTGTGGCCTTATTTGGAAGTGGCCTTTGCAGCTACGATCAAGCTACGATATGGTGGCACCAAGTTAGGGTGGGTCCTCAGACCAGCAATTAATGTCCTTATAAGGAGAGGGAGATTGGGACACAGAAGCTCAGGAACACAGAGAGAATGCCTTGTGACCAGAGAGGCAGAGCGAAGGGACACAGATTCAATGCTAAGGAATGCTAAGGCTGCTGGGAAGCTTCAGGATTCGGTGGGCTGGAGTGAGCCCTCATCCTTCCACAGCAGGGCTGGCTTTCCCACACCCGGGCTCGGACTTCTGATCTCTGGAATTTATTCAGAGGGATAAGTGATGGTGGCTTTATAGTGCCAGGTTTGTGGTCACTGCTAGGAAATTAATCTAAGAGAGAGGAAGAGAAGAAAGTGTGATGAGGTGAGCAAAACTAGACTGATGAGTGAGACTCTTAAAGGGTGGGGTGAAGCTTCAGATCTATCCAAAACCATGATCTTTCGAGCCTGAGAGTGGAATTAAGGGTACTCACAATCCCACAAGGCACCAGCAAGTTATGACCTCACAAACTTGTCCTGAGAATAAAAGGAAGACATCAGGCAGTGGTGCACACCTTTAATCCCAGGACTTGGGAGGCAGAGGCAGGTGGTCTCTGTGAATTCAAGGCCAGCATAGTCTACAGAGCGAGTTACAGGACAGCTAAGAATATACAGAGATACCCTCTCAGAAAAAAATAAATAAAAAGAAAGAAAGAAAAAAAAACCCAGAGGATTTAATGCCAGTACAGCAGGCTAGAGAAGCCAGTGAAGCTTGCTCAGAGTCCATGCCTGTTGTTGAATACTATTTGAGCTAGGCAAAGATGTGCTCATTTGTTTATGCTGCATTTATTCATATAAGGATGTGTGTTTTATTATGTAAAGATGTGTTGCATTTGTTTCACCGTGCCTGCCTAAGGCACCTGATTGGTCTGATAAAAAGATGAACAGCCAATAGCTAATCGGGAAAAGGATAGGTGGGACTGCCAGGCAGGGAGAGAGAGTAAGTAGGAGGAGAAATGGAGGCCTGAGGGGGACAAGATGGAGAAGACAGGAGAGAATGAGGGGGAAACTGTGAAAGGAAAATATGCAGAAAGGAGGCAAAAGGGAGCTAAAGAGAAACTGGTTAATTTAATTTAAAAGAGCTAGCCAGAAACGTGCCTAAGCTAGGCAACGCATTCATGGCTGATAGTAAGTCTCTGTGTCCAGATTTGGGAGCTGGTGGGTGGCCCAAAAGAGAAAGGCTGGTACACAGCCACAGGTGCTGATGAGCAATGACGTGCACAGTTAGTGGGGACTACAATTCCTGCTAGAGGTGGTTCACGGACCTGCAATGACAGCGAAGAGATAGAGATAGATGTATTACTAGATACAGGGCTGGCTCTTGTAGTACAGGCTGCCTTTGAACTTAAGGGCCTTTTGCCTCAGCCTCCTGAGACCTGGGAGCATGGGTGTGCACCATCAGACCCAGTAAGGTTTTTTTAAACTGGGGGAAAGGCCCTGGACAAATAAAACTGGGGAGAGACAGGAGTGAATAAATGAATATTTACAAATTATCATTGCTGTTTTATTATTATTAATGTGTGTATATGTGTATGGCTGTTCGTGCCATGTTACTGCACAGAGACCTCTCTTCCCACTGAGCTGTCTCCCCACACCAAATGAGAGATTTTGATATTCTTGACCATCCACTGGAGGCCAGAAGTCGGAACTGGATCCATAGATGTAGCTGTAGGCAGCGGCACATTTTGGGGTGTAACAAATAGCCCAGGGTCACAGTAGATACACAGCCAAGACGTCTCTTGCACATACTGAGTTTTCTGCAGCTCTGCTCTCACCCTGTAGCAAGGTGGAGGAAGCGGCCCTCTCTGACACTGGATCAACGGGGTGACCAGATGGTTTCTGCTCCCTGGTGGCCCTCATCACTCTGTATGTATGACATTGGTTGAGATACGTCATGTGGTTGAGTGTACCCTCTCACTGGTGGGAAGGGAGGGTACTGCTACAGTGACTCACCTTGGTAACTCTGAAGACACTGCACTTGAAGCCTCAGCCATGGGGTGAACAGTCATGCCACTGGCTGTCCTAAGGCAGTGGTTCTCAACCTTCCTAATGCTGTGACCCTTTAACACAGTTCTTTGTGTTGTGGTGACCTCCAACCATAGTTATTTTCAGTACTACTTCATACTATAATTTTGCTACTGTTATGAATTATAAAGTACAGATCTGATATGCAGGCTTTCTGATATATGACCCCTCAAAGGGGCCATGACCTACAGGATGAGAACCACTGCCCTACGGATGTGGCTCCATGCCTGGCTCATCACCCACAGCCGGAATAGGGAAGAACTGTGTTTGAGCCATCCAGCCATAGATGACCTCAGGAATGGTGGGGTGCTGCGGGATATTGGTACACTGTGTAAATATGTATTGCTGTGATTGGTTTCATAAAAAGTTGGACAGCCAATAGGTAGGCAGGAGGAATAGGTGGGACTTCTGGGCAGAGAGAGGAAGTAGGAGGAGATAATCAAGACACAGGGGAGGTGCTAACGAGGCGTGGATAGAGTTGGACATGCAGAATGAAAGAAAGGTAAAAAGCCACATGATAAAGTGTAGATTAATAAAAGCAGGTTAATTTAAGTTATAAGAAGTAGTGGGATAAGCCTAAGCTAAGGCCAAGCTTTCATAATTAATAAGAGGTCTCTGTGCTATTCTTTGGGAGCTGGCTGGTGGAGCGGAGAAAGACTCCGTACTGTGTGAATGCGTAAGTCTGCAGGAGAGAAGCGGGGCTGTTTTTGACTGGGAGCTTGTGACCCTCTTTCTTATACTCGGTCTCTGGGTGCCACTGGACATACAGTGTTGCTTTTTCATCCACTGTTCCAAGCAGGGGCTTCCATGGCAGAAAAAGTACCTAGGAATAAGACCTAGGAAACAGAATGCTAATGAATTTTCCCCTCAGTTTACATTTTGAAGAATAAACGTGGGTAAGTTTTTAGGATGTGAATTCAGGATTTCATGAGGGATCCCTAAAAACTCCCTCCCAATAAAGTCATGTGAGTTGTGTCTTTCTTCCTATGCCTCCCCTCTGGTGAGAGAAATAAGTCATGGTCCTGGCTGGTCCTGGACCACGACATATGGCGCCCAATGTGGGGATGATCGATAAACCCTAAAAAAACACCAAAACAGTGACCAGACATATGGAGGAAAACATAAAAAACCCACAAAAAATTACACCACAGGTTAAAAAGGTGAGTAATGAGTGCTCAAAAATAAAAAAATAAAATTAAAAAAAAACATAAAAGCAAAAAAATTGAGAGTAAAAATTTGTAAATAATAAGTTATATATATATAATTAAAAAGTATTCAGATATATATTAATAATGAAAAAAGTTAAAGTAAAACAAAAACAATGACAGAGATACTTAAAATCTATAAGCGTGATGGTCGTGGAGCTGCAACTTTTATCGCTTGCTAAGCACATAAAAATTTTTAACAAAATACAACATTTGGCCCAAAAATCACGTAGGTTACTGCTGAGATTGGGGCATTCCACACTCAGGTGCAGTAGCCAGCTGAATCTAACCCACCTGCAGGCGAAAGGCAAGCAGGAACCAGAGTAAGTTTAGAGAGTAAATTTAACCCCCACAATTAGCAGCCCAGAGTCAGTCAATAAAACATAAATCTAATTTTATGATTACAAGATAAAATTTAAAAGAACATAATAAAAAATCAACACAGCTACACCCGCCAGAGCTTGTGACGGCACAATCTTAGAGCAGCCACGCTGGCAGACACCAAAGAATCTGTATCAGTCACTGACCTCTGGTGGGACTTTTAAACTTAGAAAGCATGGCCTGTGCCCAGGCAGAGCAGGGGATGAGA